ATTTTATGTAACAAATCATTAACAGTATCTTTCATATTCTGATTTGATAATTTCAATTCCTCTTCTAATAGTAAGGAACTCTGGTCATCTAGATCATTCTTTTTCAAGGAAATTAATTCAGATTTATATTTGTCGCACACATTTTTCATATCTTTAAGTTGTTTCTCATACGATTTCTTAATTAAATCTGTTTGCTCCAATTCCTCTTTTGATTTACGAATATCCTCTTCAAGACCTTCAATTCTCTGAATTAGAAGTTTTTCTAATTCTGCTTTTTCCTCGAGTTTTTGTTTTGTTAATTGATATTGAATTGCCACTTCATCAAAAGTCTGATATGTAGTTTCATTTAATTCACTCAAAGTACTCACATTGATACCACTAAGTCTAGATAATGATTTTTCTAAATCATATATCCTATTACTCAAAGTTTTTTCATGAATTTGGCTGTTTTCTATTAATGATTGTGCTGCTGAATATCTTGATGAGAGATCATCAAGCTTAAATTTTAAACTTTCATTTTCTTCTTTTAATATAGCAGCATTTGATAAAGCCTGTTCCAAAGAACGTTCAATACTTTCTTTTGATTCAAGAATTGCAGTCACTGCAATGTATTTTGAAGTAATTTCTTCTAATTGAAGTTTATGTAACTTAATCTGTTCGCTTAGCATCTCTTTTTCTTTTTGATTTTCTAGATTTAGAATATGTCTAGCTCTTTCTGACTGTATTTTAAACTCATTAAACTTCGATTTATATTCATTTAATTCAGTTTGGGCAATTTGTTGAGATTCTGAGCGATTCATTAATTCAAGTTTCAAAGCTTCTACAGTTTTTTTATAATGAGTCAACTGTGTTTGAAAAATGGAAAGTTCTTTGGCATGTCTAGTATCCAAATCTGGCAGCTCCTTGTTTAAACGATCAGCTAGAATCTTATTCTCTTCCTTCAATTGTTTTATTTCTTCTTCATACTTATCTTGAATATTTATTATTTCCTTTTCATGTTTAACAGCTAAATCTTTCAATTCCTGCTGATGACGTGTAGTATTTATATTTGTTTCAGTTGTGAATTTCTTTAATATATGTTGCATATCTTGTTTTATTTTATCTACGCGTGCTTCATATTGTTTCTGTTGCTCTAAAGTCTCAGTGATATTTAAATTTTTATCAGCAGCACTTACACGAATTTGTTCATTTAAATTATTAATTTGTAACTTATAATCATTGATCTCTGCAACTCTAGTTTCTTTCTCCATTTCAAGTGTTTGTACATGCTCTAAGTTTTGAGCCAACTGACTATTTAATTTCTGTATCATTGATCTTTGATCATTTAAAGTTTTTTCTAAAGTATCAATCTAAAAAAAAATTCAAAAAATAAAAATTTTTCCAATTATTTTTTTGATCTGAAAAGTAATCTTACCTTTTCTTGTAAGCTTTTACTATTCATAGTACTGATATTATCCTTACAAGGTATTTCCATTGCATTCAAAGCATTCAATTGACTAGCAAAATTATCTCTTGCAGATATTGCTTGTTGTAAAGACCACATTAATTCTTCTATTAGGTTATCTCTTTGATTCACTGCTTTTTCAAACTCTTGTAACTGTTTCATAAAACAAAAGACATAACTATCTATATATACTATGTCAAAAAAAGAAAAAAAATATTTCATTTACTTTTGTATGATACAAAGGTATAACATCTCTGCTAGGTATACTACTATTCTGGCTTTGAGAAGAATTTGGAGATGATGCTTCTGCTCTCAAATGATCTATTTCTGCATTTAAAGCTTCCACTATGGCTTCCTTTCCTTGTAATAACTCTTCTAATTGAGCCACTCTTCCTGCAAGACCTTCTAAATCTCCATCTGCTTCTCCTTCACTCATACTGACACTGCTTTGCGTCACATCTCTTGAAGAAACTCCTTCATGTACCTATAATTAATAAAACTTAGAATTTCAAACAAATAAATAAATTTTTATTCTTACGTAAGATTCCCTATGTCCAATAGATTTGTCATTTCGGAAAGATTCTTCGTCAGATATCTCATCCATCTGATTATAACTTGTACCTTGAACTTTGCTAGCCTTTTCTGCCTTATATTTTTCCAACTAAATTAAATCAAAATCATGTTTTATATACAAAGTAAATTTTCATATAATTTTTTATTGAAGGAATTAAAATTTTTTTAAATATTTTATTCACTTTTCAAATTCATTATATTAAATAAATTTTCTGTCGTATATAGGAATAACTTATAAATAATTAAAAAATACTTGAGACTTGATGTCATAAAAGAAATAATTAATCTTAAGAAAAAAGACCTACCATTTCTCTACCCGCCTCCAAAGAGCGTCTTCTGCGCTCATCATCTTCTATTGCTTTACTCATTTCATTAAAATCTGACCAACAATTAGCTGTTTAGTAATTGACGATAAAAAGCAAATCGATTATTAATTGTTGGACAATCTACAAGTTTATTCAATATACACTACATTTCAAACCCATGTACTCAAATCATTTACTGCAAAATGTTCGACCGTTGTCGACTTATAAAAATACGAATTTCTATAGCGTCTGACATTGTACCATAAATTTTTCATGAGATAGATCGTGATCTAACTGATCAAAAACACTTCACGAACTTTATATTCAATTTTCAATCATTCAATTATTGAAAACTACCTTGAAATTTTTTAAAGTTTTTTTTCCTTTCTTTTCCTAATATGTATCTATGTATGTATATTATAAAACTTATTAAAAACACTTGCGTAATTAATTTCAAATTGTATTTTAAATTCTTGAATGTTCCAAAATACACAATTTCATATTCTTCTTAAAATTGTTACATATCGATATAAGAAAAGTTTTAAACCAGTTTTGGTTATATTAAAGTTCAGAAAATTGAATTAAAATGGAAGGATCCGAAGTTTTGCACGTGGAAATCTGTCAAAATATTGATAGGTATTACAAATTATATATAGTTTTTTTAATTAATAATTTATGTCTCAAGTTTTCAATCGAATTAAAATCTAATTTTTCTATTATTTAATAAGTTATAATTTAATATTTTATAACAAATTTTTCATATTTTTTATATGATTTATTATAATTTAAAATATTTAATTTTCAGCACACTTTCTATTGAAAAAATAGAAAATTTAATATATGCTGAAATAAATACATTAGAGGATATTATATTAAACACTATTATTTATGCAAAGGATTTAAAAAATTGCATTTTACAGACTCATATTGATTCCATAATATGTACGTCTAGTCATGGAGAGGTAATAATTCAAAAGTAAATTTAATTGTACAAAATTTATTAGCAATATAAAATTTATTGTTACAGAGAAGTCATATGAAAATACAAAATGCTACTCTAAAGTTTCATGTATATAGGTTAACTACAGAATCTGCAGCTACAGAAACAATGGAAAATGATGGAGAAGATCTTGCAGTTTCTTCTCATTGGATATTACCAACAAAAGAATTTCATTATCTATGGGAGAGTCTTTATTTTGATTCTAGCATAAAAGATTATGTTAGTTGAAAATATTGAATCTTTTAAATTATAATTATGATTATAAAATATTAATGTTTTATAATATTATTTTAATTAATTTATTCTTTATTAATTATAATTATAATTAATTATATATTAATTATCAGTGAGAAATTTAAGAATCTGTATATTTTTTTAGCTGCTTCATTTTGTAGAAACAGCTATGATATTTGCAGACCATAATGTTGATACAAACATTATAAGTTGGAATAAAGTAGTGTTATTACATGGACCACCAGGCACAGGAAAAACTAGTTTATGCAAAGCTCTTGCTCAAAAAATTATTATTCGTTTAGGCAAAAGATTTACTCATGCAGAATTCATTGAAATAAATAGTCATAGTTTATTTTCAAAATGGTTTTCAGAGGTAATATTAGAAAAATATTGAATTAAATTATAATAAAATTAAAAAAATTAATATTATTTACAGAGTGGTAAATTAGTTATGAAACTATTCAATGAAATAAAAAATCTTCTAGAAAATTCGCACGCATTAGTTTGTATTTTAATTGACGAAGTGGAATCTTTAGCGCACGCTCGGAAGTCTTGTAGTAATGGAATGGAACCTACTGATTCTATAAGAGTAGTAAATGCTTTATTAACACAACTAGATCAAATAAAACAATATCCAAATGTTTTGATTTTAACAACTAGTAATTTATCAGAAGCTATTGATTTAGCATTTATTGATAGAGCAGATATAAAACAATATATTGGACATCCTACGCATCAAGCTATATACAAAATATATACTTCATGTCTGAAAGAATTAATGAGGGTAAAAAAATATTCTTTTTGTATTTTATAAAATATATTATAAAATATATGTTTATTTATTTCAGACAAAACTAATGGAACCAGAAGAAATATATGATTTATCATATTTAAAAAGAATGGGCTATGAAGAAACATTTCAAACAAAAAATAGTCTTAAATTGATGGAATTAAGTCAAGAAAGTTTGGGTTTTAGTGGACGTATTTTAAGAAAAATACCGTTTTTAGCTCATGCTTTTTATTTAAGAACAAAAAAGTGTACTTTAACACGATTTTTAAGAGCTATGCATTTAGCTCTTAAAAGAGAAAAAGAAGATAACACTGAAGATGTATCTCAAGTATTGCAACATTTGGAATTCTAAGAGGTATTTGCTCCAAAATTTTTAAATTCGTTTTTTAGTTTTTTTATTGTAATTGAATTTATTTCAATGTAAGATTCAGTATTATATTTATTTAATCCTTTTCTAAAATACGTGTATGTTTTGTTCAAATTTCCCTAATATTCTATTTTCCCTTCTATTTAAATTCCTTGCAAATATTTTGTTTAAAAATATTTAAAATCATCAATTTCCCGCTCTTGTACCGATTGTCGAAATGCTGCGACTTCTCTAGTCTTGAATTAGTCTATGGCGTGCGGTGCGCCGTACGTTTGTTACTTGTTACGATTACGATCAATGCGACCAGTTGTTGTTGAGTTCTTGAAGGTGAAGGTGATATTCGTTATTTGTGTTTTCTCATACAATTCGATTTTCAAAAGAAGAATCGAGTTATACTGTCGAAAAAATAAAGCATTGCGGTTGAATGTAGGTTTTGTGTATTTCACGCGTGTGAATCTGTGATTTTTAGTTTTGTTTCTTCTTAAAGTTCATGCTCCCAGGATAACAGGGTCGAGTGGAAGAATGTTGGATCGCGATACCGCGATACATCTCATTGCTGGAGGGTGGGTTTCTTATTTTTTTTTCATTTTATTAAATTTTTGATTAATTACAATTTATATTTATTAAAATAATCAGATTAAAAAATGTGCGTCATAAATTCGTGTCGATGATTTTGATCAAAATACCAAAATGATTCATTAATAAATTTGCATTTTGCATAATGCTTCTAATTTATAAAAATATACAATAAATATATTTTCTAAAAAAATTTTATAGTATCATAACATAGGTGAATTCTAGTGTTTAATACTGCGACATAGTTACCGGTTCATGTGTTACATCATTCTTACAGCTTTCGTGCGTATGTTGCATGTATATAACTTATCGTCCCAATTTAGAAACTGCGATGTATTTTTGACTTATGTCAGTGATAATTTTTCATTATTACATCGATTATTCAATCTTTGATGATCGATAACTTTATATAAATCGAAATAATATCATATATCGTATAATACGCGCCATAACCGGCTTTCCAACAGGAAGATATATGTTTTCATAATGAATGTATAATATACGAGTTTCTTCGTCGTTTCTGAAGCATACATAAATCGATTAGATTTTATCGTAACCAAGTTTGATTATCTATTGAAAGAATTTTTATATCATAAAAAGATATATTATTTTTTATTTAGTGTATAATATTCAAATTATTAATTTGATAAATTAATAACATTCTAGTATTATATAGGTATGTATACAAGAGAAAAATAGATTAGTATAAAAATGTCTATTTTTTTACTACGTCACTACATCATTTTTTCGTAAGTGCAATGATACGCATAAATAATGCAAATATATTTCTTTTTAAATTGCATTTTTGCATTTTTTATATATATTTATTCTTTGAAACATTAAACATAAAAAATTGTTAGAATATAATGCTAAAGAATTAATATTTTTTTAAAATATTTAAAATTTTTAATTAATTATATGTTTCGAAATTTTAATGATTAACAAAATTCATTTACTTTATTGAAAATTATTGAAAAAAATATTATTTATTTGTAATGAAAAAAATAATATGTTTATTTATATTTTTTATTCTAAGAATAAAATTTATCCTGATATGTGAACAATGCAAATATGTTTTTAAAAATTTGAACATGATTTATCAAAATAAGCGGTAATTTTTAATTTTAAAAAGAATATATTGAATTAAAATATTTTATACCATTTAAAATTTAAAAAAATTTCTTTTTATCTCTAACCAAATTTTAGATATTGCTTAATTATTAATTATTAAATAATTAATCATATTGAATAGCATATCAAATAATGTAAGTTTTTTTTTATATGATTTGTTCATTTTATTTTGTTATGTTTTATTTTAATTATTTTAATTATTAAATCTTAACATTTAAAATATCTATTATCGGAATCTTTTATCAATTTTTGATAAAATTAATCTTCAAATATATAATAGTAATTTTTTAATCGATTAAATAAAAAATTCAATTTTTTGAGGAAGATCCTCACATTGGATGTATTTTGTGTTTCATAGAGTGGCTGGAACTACTGGTGCTATAGTTACTTGTCCCTTAGAAGTGGTTAAAACACGTTTACAATCTTCTTCTTCTGGATTTTATCCACCTCCGGTGAATAAGGAACTTACTTCCGGTCATGTCACATGTAAAAGTTTTCCAAAACCGGAACAGAGGAGAAGACTTTGCACTGGTGGCTATACAAGGTAATTTTTTACTTATTTGATATATAGTATATGATGCTAAATAAATATTATGATATATATATATATATATATAATATTCAAATATATTTCTGAAATCTCAGAACCCAGCGTTGATTCTCAACTAATTCCCGTATTCATGACATAGCCAGTTAAAAATAAAGTTTTAACGAAGCGCTTACCTTCCATTGTCGATTCTAGAAATTTTAGCTATTCTTCTCGATTAAAAATTATAAAATCTATTTTTACATTAACTTTGTTTTTTGTTTTAGCTATTAATTAAAGTTTATTACAGAGTTTTAAATGATTACTTTGAAGCTTTTACTTAGTTCAAATAATCTCATATATTCATATATCTCATGTACAATAATCAATATATACTTTAAAGTATGCTATATTTTAATTATAATTTGTAAATCTGTTATATCAATTTTTTATAATTTTTAATAATTATAAAATAAAAAAATGATAATTATATATAATGATTAAAATTAAAATTATAAAATTAAAATTAATTGAAACTTTATTTTTACAATAATTTGTTTGTGTTTCAGGCATGCTTTGATTGCTCTCTCTCACTTTGGCGCGTTTGCTTCTTCAGGAGGTTCTTCTCCTCACAGTCATTCTGCGCCAGGTGTATATCAATGTATCAGATATATCGTTCAAAACGAGGGTATTCGTGCCCTGTTCAAAGGATTGGGTCCTAACCTTGTAGGTGTTGCACCATCCAGAGCAATCTATTTCTGCGCCTACTCAAAAAGCAAAGTCGCATTTAACGCGATCTTTGCCCCGGATACCGCTCTTGTACACGTATTCTCCGCATTCTGCGCCGGTAAGTCGAACATTTTACTTCCGCTTTTATCGATTAAACTCGTATTTTCATCGGTTCTTGTATCGCATTTGAATGTGAATAATTTTAGCCACTGCTGTGGTGTGACGTGTGTCTCTTAAAGCAAAAGAAATAATAGAAAAATACTAATGTTTATTAAAAGTGATTATATGAATGTTAATTTAATACATAAAGTATAAAAATATTACTATATCAATGCAAATAAAATCAATTACATTATATTTTTTCAATTATATTATATTTTTCAAATATTTAATATTATTTAAATTAACAATTATTATTGATTTAATATGAATTAAAAAACTTTCTGATGATTAATGAAAATTAAAAAAATAAGTACAATATAAAATTGTACTATTGAACATAACATTATTGAATATGAACTATGAAAAGACAATACATAAATATATAAAAATCTAAGCAAAGCATTATTTAGTCAAAGCGCTGGATGGTGTTGTTCGTTTCTTTTCTCCCGGAACAATCAAATTGACCATTGATAAGGAACTTAGTAGGGTCACTTCTCGTGTCATTCCCTGTTATCTAGTTGAATGGATTGCCACAAATATTTTTAATCTTCACTATTTCTGATCTTTTGTAATATGATAACTCAATTTAATTTGATTAAGTTGATTTAATTTGATTCTGTATTTTTAATAATTTGCATACATTTAAATCATATTAAAAATACTTATATTAATTTGTATTTAAAATTCCTTGTAACATTTCATTGGTATTTTTATCGTATTTCATTGGTATTATTAATTTATTTTATAAATTTTTACGTAATGAAAAATTAACTGTCTTAATGAAAATTGCTTGTTTGATATTAAATGTATCGAGTGCTATTTTTTTTTTTCTCAAAGATTATGATGTATATGTAATTCAAATTAATTGAAGTGTTTACATAGTCTGTTAAATGAATAGTGCTTATCAGAAGAGAGCTGAACTTCAACCTCTGGATTATATATACGTATATTGCATATTATTGTAGATACTGATTTCTCTGCAGGGGTGCTCTTAAACATTCGAAGTATTCAATAAACGCATTGTATGAGGTCAGTAATATGTGAAGAAATGATCCAGATATTAATTCTAAAGAAAAATAATTTAAATAGATCAAAAAAAAAATAAAATACACTAAAATATATTTCGATTGATCACATCACAAATGGTTCACATTTCTTCTTTCTTTCTTTCTTTCTTTAGATTAAACATGTTCGATCATATAGTTGTTCAACGGCTTTTTGGTTATCTTGACTAGTGACCTACTTTTTCTCACAATTTGAAAGCGGTATTTTATTCTTTAAAATCTCTATTATCTTAATTTTAATTTTATTTTCTAAGAAACATTAATATTATATATGATATGATATAATATTTCTTTTATACAATATTATTTTGTTTAGATTAAACAAATCTATTTTTTTAGTTCTCAGTCATTTAAATTATTTTGATAAATAGGATTTTGTTAAATGAGAAGTTTAACAATATATTTTAAATAATAATCTTTAAAATTATGGAGCTTATTTTCTTATTGTATATTATTTTCAAAAAGTGAATATTTTATATTTCTTCAAAGTTTTAAATCATTCTCATTTTAATTTTACTTTCAGCTATGCAAAAGATTATTCTCAATTCTTGAAGATCTATTTTATACGTAGAATTGTATTCAAGTACCACTAACCTTGAGACACTCGCTATTAGGACAATTATGGCTTATTTATACTTATATCAACGTTGTATGCAGCAAGAAACATATAAGAGATTAATATTTTCTGCGTGTTATTTTCATCTGAATCTTTTGAAAACAATATGTCTTTAGTTCACGAATATTATATTATGAATGAAAGATAAAAAAAGAAATGTTTTTAACCACTGCCTGATTAGACTATAATAATTATTATTATTATATATTGAATTAAATATTTTTTATTTACAACTTTTTTATATTTAATATTTCATATTATTTTAATTTATATTTTATATAAAATTAAATTATATTTTTTCTCATTTTATACTTTTTTTCCATAAAATAAATTATGTTTACTGTTTCTATAATTGCAGCGGAAATTTAATTACATCAAATCTAATAATAAAGATCAACTATTTTACAATAAATCATCATTGAAGAAAACCAAGTTTATAAGTTGTTTATGTATTTCATTGCTTATAAATAAACAAGAATTATCACTGAAATTATATGTTTGAAAATAGAAGACTGCTATAGAGATTCTCGGATCTTCTCAATGGAGTTCAATGAAAAATCATTTCCACTTGACTAATGAAAGCATTGTTTTCTCACTTCAATTTTCAGTCTTTTTTCATTTTCAATTTACTCTTTGCTATTTTTTGAAATAAGAATAATATTTTTTGAATAAATTCTTTTGATATTTTTCATATATATAAATTTATTTTTAAATTGTACAATATAAAAATTTTCAGCAAAAATGATTGCGAAAAATTTCGAATTATAGTTAAATTATTTTACAGGGATTTTTCACAATATTTATTTTAAAATGAAAAGCAAAAATAATTTGTAAATTAAAAATATGATTGTTTATTCACAATAAATATTTCATCGTATTGACTTAATTCATGGACAATATACAATGTTTATCACTAGTGCATTGCTTGTGAACATTTATAAAATTACGCAAGTATTTCATACCCATTCTCTAAATTTCAAAATACTAATATTAATGTATCTATTATCTATTATTTAAGCATTTAAATAAAAAAATATCAAAGATTTGGATATTTCAAATATTAAAAATATATAATCATAATATTGAGATTAAAGAAATATTTGAAGCATACAATGTGGTATCGCAATTATATTTGAGATATATGAAATAGATATATTTGAGATTATATTTGAAATATATTGAATACTGGAATTTTGAATTTAAAAATATTACAGAATTAATATTACATATAAATCTATTATTTCTATTATTATAATGATATTCTGAAAAATTAATATTAGTATTTTTATCTTTAAATCTAAGAGGCAGATTTAAAGTGTGTCATCGTGGAATCCTTTGCTTGGAATCGATATACTGCGGTTCTAGTGTTTCCACAGTGAGGTAGGTCAAACAGAAACAGTCAATACCTCCACCAGGTTCCTGTTGAACTTAAGAATCCGTTTATTAAATCCGCTCGAAAGAATGATAAACTCAGGAATTCATAAATCAGGTCATCAATTTAAAATTATTTAAAAATTAATATTTTCTGAAATAATTAATTGTTTGAAATACATAAATATTAATTAATAGAAAATATTCAATAAATAAAAATAAATTTCACTGCAAATGTACATTTTATTTATATATCTATGTTAAATATATAACTGAAATAAAGGTGAGGATGAATTATTGCGTAGCAAGAATTTTATTTTTTTATAAATCAACATGATATATATGTATACTACTATGATAAGATAAATCCATAATAATTTACGGAAGTAACGAATACTCATCGTTCGTAATCTTATTGATTTGTAATGTTGTGGGATAAAAATAAATGAGACGTGTTTACGATAGAATCACGTTGCATTTACAACGACGTGTACGAGTATCCCACGTGGGAAACCATTTGCGTGTCTTCATTGAAGTACACGCATACCACCCACACAATATGCGCTACGCTCGTTCAAAGTCTATTTTAATAACCAATGACAATTCTTATAATTGCCATTTGTTCATTTATATTAACCTTGAATGCATGTGCAATTTCATTATGGTGATATACAATACTTATGGATCTATACTTAAGTGGATCATTTAAAAGTTTTCATCAATCTAAAAATTAAACATATTTATTTTAATAAAATAATCAAGTACAATATGTAGGTAAATCTTCTGTCTGTAAACATATAAACTTTACGTTAGGTGCATCTATAAATAATTCCTTTACAATACCATTTACAGTAGCCATTGAGTATCTTCTACTTCTTCTTCCTCCCAATTCTGGAATGTCTACATCCATTCCAATAGCTGTGGTGTAAGATCCCATAGGATCTGCTAACATTCTCACCTAAATTAATTTTGTATTATATATGTATTATATTTGTTACTAGTTAACTTTATTAAATAAAAACAATCGATTTTTTTTTATTTTGAAGATAATTCTAGAAATTTTTTAAAAATTTCTATAATTGTTGCTATTACTTTATCAGTTGCTCCTTTGGCATCTCCCCAAGCAGACATCACAAACGGATCATTCACGGACACGCAGATTATCTCTTGAAAGCCCATGCATTTCAGGTCTGTTGATCTAAATCATCCAATTCAAAAATAGGTTATGAAAGCAATTTTTATGCAAAATTAAATTATATCATTGATATTACATATTTAATTTAAAATTTTTAAATATTTTTTCTATATTCTTCTAAAAGTCTTCACAAAGTTTAAAAAAATAATTAATGATTTTTACTTTTCAATAAATCCCTTTAAATGGACTCTAGAACATCCGGGAACATATGCTCCAGGAATTCCAAAAATAATAGCTTTCTTATTAGATACTAGATCTAAAATATTGATTTCATTTTCCGGTACGGCTTCGTACAAAATTATATTAGGTAATTTGTCGCCTTTTCTAATTTGTGGCATCTCTGTAATCAATATAGTTTTCTATCATGTTTCTAATTTCAGTTAGATTAGAAATATGTGAATTGAATATAACTTCATTTATTCATCAACAAGAATTATGAATATCGAATATATAAATTTGTTTCTGACTTCATCCAGTTTTGTTGTTGATTTTAGTTGACAACAAGATTGTCTGGTGTAACTACGATAAATTTAGAAGTTGGCATGTTTACAGGAATCGGAGGATCAATCAGAGAATTTCTGCCAACAGTTAACTAGATTTGGAATCGCGAAAAAGAATTCGACCAATCGGTTTCTTGGCTCGAATGTGTTTGTTGTTTGTTAGATTGATGGCGCAACTCTTATTGAATTACAATTTGTTGGTACAAGGTTAAATCATCCGTGGTTATAACTGCTTTATTTTTTGTAAACAAGAATTTTTTATTAATTAGTAGAGTTTTTATAGTATTCGAAATTTCAATGTAAACATAACATTCAAACCAACTATCATATTTTTGATAGAATACTATAAACATGTAAATTATTGCAATTTTAAATTTCGTTATTTTTAATAGTAGGAATATAAAATATTTTTAATTTTTTTAACTTAGCTTTATTAATTTTTCTTAGGTAGATAAGTCGTCAATCTGATTCTTCAAAAATCATCTTTCGGAAACAACTTTAGAAAACCAGTAAATTGACGAGAGAGCTCAGACAGTCGCAGTACGCTACACACACAATCCCTCCCTCTTTCCTTCACATACCGCTTGGATTAAAAACACATAGATTCATTTTTCAGGTTTCGTCGCATGCACATTGACAAATCCTATTTGGTTCGTGAAGACCAGGCTGCAACTGGACCATCGAACCAACAAAATCACTGCGATGGAATGTATGCAAAGGATATATCGACAATCGGTACGAAAATCCTGTTTTGAGGAAAGAAACTCTTCGTTCCATGAGACATGCCATATTGGAACATCTTGGAAGATTTTTTTTAATCCATTATATCATTGCATATGATCAGTAGTATATCATTGGAAAGTTTTTCTATTCTTAAAGTTAAACATGCTGGTATACAGCTATATAGTATAATATATAGCTATATAGTATAATAGATTTTATTGTATTTTGAATTATTTTGAATTTTATATATAATCATCAATTCACTGATTAGGTAGTTTCTACAATATTCTGGAGATAATAAGATTAAATTGTAATCCTAGATAGTAAAATATTTATATGAACTTATTTTGATTTTAGGAAACAGAATATGTTTGAGAATATAGTTCCTTTTTGAAACTGAGAGAGAATAAGAAAAGAATTTGATCACAAATGTAAATAGAACAGAATGAATGTCGAAATATTTTTTTTATTTTTTTATTTTTTTATAATTCAATTATTAATTTAAAAATTTTTTGAGTATTTTTTTATTGATAAATCTGATTATTGTTTATAGTTTAAAAAAGAACAAAGTCTGGAACTTTTGTCAATCAAAAGTCAATATTCAATATTGTAATTGTTGTGATGTACAATGAACAAGCCAATCCGGCAGCCAAGGATATTTTTACAATCGTACATATATAGAAACTGTGCATTAAAATATTCACATCTACAATTTTTATATAATTTCATACAAAATAATAAAATTACAATTTTTTTATAATTCTTATAACAATTCTTTGAACAATTTGAATAATGATTCTTTGGATAACTATTAAGATAGATAAAATTTATTTAAGTTATCGAATTGAGATTTTTCTTTATTATTATTCGATTACGTTCTTCAGACATTTGCATCGCAATTGCAGCAGAGCCAGATTTAAAATTGTCTCTGCAATCTACAAATAGTCAAAATGTGCCGAAAATATCTCGTGGATGAGAAAACAACATCGTTCTTCACGGTTGATTTGTTGAATTATTGTACGTCATTTTGTCACACTTGTAACTGTGCCTTGATTACATTAATTTTGTTTTTTTTTACTATATAAAAATAGAATAAAATAATAGAATGAAATTAAGATATTATATAAAAATAGGATAATACAATGAAATTGAATATATTATATAAAAATAGGATAAAATAATAAAATATAAGAGATATATTTTAACAAATAATTGAAATATTTATTAATTATTTATGAATTTAAATTACTATCATTTTTAGTAGAATTCAAATTTTTTCAATTTTTCATTTAAATAAATAAGAAAATAATTTTTGTAAATAATAATTGCAAAATTAAATATAACATAGTTAAAAAAGAAAAAAGAAAATTACATAGCAAAATTTATAAATTAATAAATAATTTTTAGATAATTACATTAATATAATTACATAACATGCGTATATATACGGCGATAAGATTTATTAGGTATTAAATTTTTTGCAGAAAAACCTTTCATTCATTATAATTTTTTTTTTCATTCCAATGTTTATACTCATTTTCACTTATATTGTTTAATCATATCTATATTAATAATATAGATATGTTTTTATAGTATTCAGTAATAAGTTTTAAATCACAGAAACTTTTATTATCGCTGTTTGTGAATTCAAAAATAAAATAAATAAGTATTTACTAAGAGAAGTCAATGCAATAATTTGATCATAAATTGTATCAGTATATCGCATATTCTTGAAATTTAATGTCTTATCTCTGAAAATATATCCTATATATATTTTTCAGATAATTTCTTTGTTGGAGGCAAGCATATCTTAATCTTTTATCAACAAAATATATATTACGAATACATATTTTGATCGATATCTTCTTTTAAATTTGTGATACTCTGATTTTTTTTAATTTTTTGCGTATAATAAAACAAAAATTTTATTTTATCAAATTTATCATAAAATATGATTAAATATATATTAAGAATATTCTTTATCATGTTTTCATTCAAATTCATTATTTTATATTATTATTTAAATAATTATTATTTGATCATTCAATTATAGCTTGGTAGATTGGATGTTTTGAATTATTCAAAACTAATAATTAGTGACATTAAACAATATTGTAACAATCCTTTCATAGGAATCTAGGGTTACAATTTGAATGATTGATAGAATTCAAATTAAAATTATATGTTATTTTTTCAGGGTATCCTGGGATTCTACAAAGGCATTATGGCCTCCTACATAGGAATAAGCGAGACTGTGATACATTTTGTGATCTACGAGGCTGTGAAGGCCTCTTTAGCAACATACAAGGCTCCCAATGCAGATCGAAAAACATTGCGCGATTTCTTAGAGTTCATGGCGGCTGGCTCGTTCTCAAAAACGATTGCCTCCACCATCGCTTACCCCCATGGTAAGGTTGGCTGTATTGTGCAATTTTGCCATCACAAAATGCAAGGCTTCTGCTTCCTACTTCAATTAAGCTCTATTTTTAAGGCATTGCTCAGCGAGTTGGCTGTGGTTCAAGAGTAAAGCATCAGTTTGCACAAACTTCTTTACTTGCAAAAATCTTTATAATTCTTGCAAACATCCTGCACACTAGTACGACTCATCTCCATTACGCATATGAATGACTAATGTATCAAAAAAAGAAAAGAATTGATTGGAGAAAAAAATAACTTCTTTTTTAAAAGAAGAATTTTATTATTTAGCGACACTATGTTCTTCATATTTTCAAATTTTAATTTCTTTAAAATAATTCTAATCAAAAATCAATAATTTCACTTGTCATAATAATTTTGACGTAATTAAATTAAATTATATTAATTAAAATTATTTTTATTGTTTCAGAAGTAGCAAGGACGAGACTTAGAGAGGAAGGTACGAAATACCAAACTTTCTGGCAAACATTGAGCACAGTCTACGCTGAAGAAGGATTTCATGGTCTATATCGTGGTCTTGGTACTCATCTAATTAGACAAATTCCAAATACAGCAATTATTATGGCTACGTATGAAGCGGTGGTATATTTGCTAAGCAAGCACTTTCACGAACGATCTTTAAGCATAAACAATGAAAGCGAGTCCAAGTTCTATACAGATCCAAAGGGTAAACGAGAATTGGCCTAGGACTTACTCACGGCCCCTGAGTAAAGGGCCAAATAGCTCGCATGCTGCGGCGAGTCTTGAAATTGCATCTGTTTTGAAAAAAAGAAAATGAACCATAAGAACAACAACGCCGTCCAAGAGAGAGTCCATACGCCGGGAGAGAACGCATTTCCGAGTTTGGGGCCATGCCGGCCGGCCAGGTCCAATCGAACATGTCGAAGGTAGCAAAATAGGTATCACAGCACGTTGTACGCTGCTGTGTGCTCTATAAGTGTAGCAAAAAGTAGTCCTTCCTCCTTTCAGGTAGCGTACCTACGTACGCGAGGAACAGCCTAAACTGTCTGTCTGTACCTTCGTCGACACATTCACACACACATACACGGAGGCGAGGATCGTGAAGCTGGATTAAATGAGTCAATTACGTAGACTCAGAATGCTCCAAAAGTAAGATTATGTCAGCTTCTCGTTACTATTAATCTGTTAACTGGTTTGTTAATTTGATGGTTTGATAATTTGACAAATTTGCACAAATAACTTATATTATTTTTAGTAAATCTGATTCAAGACAAATTAATTTGATTTATTTTTTGAAAATTAAAATTTGATAACGTATTTTTATGATTAAACTAATTAAATTTAAGTCAAAAATATTGATGATATTTTTTCTAGTTAACAGGTTAATGGAATCATTGACATTATCATTGGTAATAAATAAGGTATCATGGGAAATTCATTTTAGGCGTCTTAATTGTTTCCGAAAATCTTCGAAACACGGGAAAAAATGGATTTTAATTCTTAAAAACTTGATAGATCTAATTTTTCACTAATCGGTTATTATATACAATAATATTGATATTCTATAATAATATTGATATTATATACAATAATTTGAATTTAAACATTTAAAATTCATATCTCCCTTGTTTCGATATGATAGAAATTATTTTTCATTATTAATTTTTATGCAGTATTGTGATTTCTTTAGAGCAATATGCTTATACTTTAATTAAAAATTATTGTTAAATATAGTGTAAGAAATAAGTTGCTCTTGAAGAATTCATTATATTCATTTCTATATCATTAATAGCAAATACATTTCTGAATTTAATGATTATTAAAAAAATGCGATCATTGTTTTTTGCAACTTCTTTTAACAAAAAAAAAAATAGAAAATAATCATTATAATTACAAATCTATATAAATACAAGATGATGAAGGTGAACGATTGTTATGTTTATTTCTATTAGTATAAGGAGATGTATTATTATCATTATTGTTGTTGTTCATCATTACATAAAATTTGTATTTCATATTAAATTTTATTTTCGAAAACGCTTCTTCCATAAAATGCTCAAAATCTATGTATTATTGATTGAAATCTAATTTTTCTGTACGTGAGAAATCTATTTTAAAATATATATTGACATCAATTTCTTTTGCAACGAAAAAAATATAAAAAAATTAAAAATGCATGAAAAATTGCATATCAATTTCATATATAACATTAAATTAAAAGAAAAAAATTTCATTGTATTGAATATATCGAATACAATCAATCAATTCTATAAAATTATAATGTAGGAATCATGTATGTAAATTAATTTAGATCAATATCAATATAACTATTTGTATATTTTGAGAGTGCGTTGTTACGCCAAATGAAAACAATATAACAAAAATGTTACTTCCTTTCTTTTTTGTAATGTTTGAAAACTACTTATAGTTACTATCCTGTTTTTGGAATCAATAATATCTATCTATAAATACTGTGCACTTAGAGAAATATTATATTGAAGTGCGTTTGTTGTTGTTCAAAATAATTATTCGTTGAAGAAGAAAAAATATTAAAAAATAAATTATATCACATATACACGTACATAAGAGAGAATCAATAATTTTTTGTTACTGAGAGATATTCATAATATTTATAAATTTGATTATGTTTGCAGTCTAATGCCATACGATGATAAAAAATGTAATATAGCTTTTTATTCTTTTTGGCTTAATGTTATTATTTGTATTTCTTCGTTAGTACCGTTTTCTAAGATGATAATTCGATAGCTCAGGTTTTTTGAAAACTAGTCTAAAACATTTTTGATAAGTCCTATTTTTGTATTCGTGACAAATCGAATAAATCAGAATTTTGCAATTTGAGATTTGCAATTTGGTAAAAATGGTACTAAAAAATTTGAATTTTTTCTGTTTAATAATTGATGATTTCAATGACCAGTGGAAAATGAGAGAAATTGTAATTTTTAATTTACATATATTTTTTGATATTTAAAAATTTAATATTGTGCTCTAAAATATTTCCATAAATAACTTTTTTTTTAAAAAATTTATTTAATATTCAAATTTTGAAGTACAAACAAACAAAAAAAATTCGAGGTCATAAGTCTTGATAAGAAAGACTGAATTAGATTTTATTGTACTTAGTATGGCTCTGAAAATAAGAATTGTAATATGAGAATGCCGATATTATTAAAATAATATATGTATATAATATATATACACATGAATATGTACATTCAATAAAATCAACGAATAATATTTTTGTATTTTTGAGTTTATTTTGAAGTTTAAATGTATATATTAACTTAATTATGATATTTTTAGTCGTTTAACCTGTTAATTAGCCTTTTACTCCATCTTTTCTTCTCTTGTAAATCTTTTCATTAGACATACAAGTTGAACAAGTACAAGAAACTGGCACAGCAACTTGTTTTTTGAATTTTTTATTATCTTCACAAATCAATTCAATAATTAGAGATTTATATTCTGTTGGTTGACAACATTGGCAGTTAACTATTTGACTCCAATTATCTATAATTAAAAAAATCGAATAATTATTAAAAATTTTTTTAGTATATATGATATTCTACAGTAGTTTTTGAATAAATAATCACATTTTCCTTAAAATTTTTTGTTATAAAAATTTATTATTACTATTTATGAGCTTATGATTAGGGTTTCTTTATTATTTTTCTTTAAAAAAAAAATATTCTAAATATAACAAATAAATTTGTTTCATGATTATTTATTCGGATATTATATTATTTTTTTTCACCTGTGTCAAAATAACTGCTAGATTCACATATACCATGACACTCTGTAATTCCATCAATAGGTTCCAAATTCTTGCAAAGACCATGTACTCGATGTTTAATACTAAACATACCAATTGTATTTTGTTCCTCCAAAACATTAGCAATGCAAGACTCAATTTTATGATTGTATGAGGTTAAATTACACATTTTACAACAATTTTGCATGTAAAGTAAAGTATCTGGACAATCAGTTACATCAGGACATACTACAGAACTGCTGCTAATAACTAATTGTTCTCCTTGTTTTATACAAGTAAAAATAGTACAGTTATCACTTGAATACCATGTTGTATTAGGCTTATAAAACATATCTTCAATCATGCAATAAGCTTGTTTACACTGTCCACAACATTCATTCTCTTTTTCCTCATATATCCAACCAGGAGTACAATTTTTATTACAAACTTCTATTTCCTTATATTTCGTTATATTAGATTCCAATGCACAAATTTCTGTAGCACATTTATCATCTATAGACTTCCATTTTTCTCCAAGTTTATATATAATGCCATTATGACGGCAACCAGTTTTAATAAATTTTGGACAACACTGTCCTGGTATATATTGTTTTTCTATCTCAAATTCAATTTCTTCCCAAGGATCTATCTCTGGACATTTTTCTGTGAAAGATTCTATATAAATACTTTTATTATTGGATTTGCAAGAGTATTTGGTACAAAAATCAGAAGAAAATAATTCTTTTCCCACATCTATTACTTCATTGAAAACCACACAAGCTATTGGAACACATTTTCCACAACAAGTAGTGCTTTTATTATCTGTAGGTTGATACTCAAAGCCAAGATCACAAGTAGTGTTACATTCTTGCATCTTAATTTGTTTTTGAATACCATTTTCATCTTTGAGACATTCTATGAAGCTACAAGAATCTTCCAAATTTGGTTGCCAAATTTCACCAACTTTATATATTTTATTTCCATCTTTGCAAGCTGTTCTTTTAAAATTAGGACAACATTTATCTTTTATAAGGATCTCTTCTACGACGAAGTCAGATATATCTGGATGATCCATAATTCTGAGGCATTCTGTCGTAAAGCACGTAGGTTTAGGACCTTTCTCAGAAGATTCACAAATACAGGAAGTACATTTTCCATCCATCCATTGTTCTCCAAGTTTTTTTGCCACTATATGTTCTGTCATTTCTATTTTACTCTCAAATTCAATATTATATAAACACAAATCTTTTGGTGGATCACATTTATAAATATTACAGCAAGCATTCTTTATATCAATTTTTAGCTCGTGATATTCTGGACAAGATGGTGCTGAAGGACAAGTCTGAGGATCACAAATAGTCATAAATTTTGGACAACAACCAGAGGTGTTTGTTACTTGAATAAAACCAGGTTGTAGTTGATCAACTTCTAATGAAATTTCATTGAGTATAGGACATTCTGATGATGGTACACATTCACAAATGAATTTTTTACATCCATCCGAATCTACGAATGCTTTTATAATTTGTCCATAGCCACACTCAGGAATTTGAGGTTCAATGCAGAAGGGTGTCATAGTAGTTACTGTTTTTGGAATGCAAAGATACTTAGCACAACAATCTTTCTCTGTGCCATTAATGATCATAGGTATCATATTTTCTTCACAAATGGTTTCCACTGCAGGGCATTCGGTTTTTTCGCATTTAACAGTCTTTTTGTTGCAAGTGCACTTTGTGCAAATATCTAGAAACCATATATCACCTTCTATATGGCCTTCTTCGTCACATAACAAACATTTTTCTTTTGAAATGCAAGTGTCATTATGAAAGATGAAATTTTGAGGACAAAAACAGCCTTCCTCATAATTCTTTATGCACATAATATCATTCATTTCATTGATTGTATCGCATGTCTGTTTACAAGTAGAATTACAAGGTTGATATACTAAGTCTGAAAAATAAACATTGATTTATATTATATTATATTATATTAAACATTGATGATAATATTTAATTTGGATAATAAAAAAAAATATTTACGTGAAGGACAAATATAAGGACATATTTTGTTACTTCTCCAAGTTAAACAAACTCCCATTTGTTGACATTTCCTTGAATATGCTTCAAAACTATTACAATAGCTTCCTCCAGAACACATGTTATCTTTACAAGCCATGAAATACGGCATTGGATCGACAAGATTATGACATAAGCCAAAATCTGCTATATTTAATAACTTTTGACATAAATTCTGATCTGGTGAAATACATTTGCTTTGATTATTAAAAACACATATATTTGTATTTAAATCGATATTTGGAGATTCTGTGACCAACCAACTTGTAATAAAATCTTGCATGTCTTCTATGACCTATTTAATCAATAATAAATAATAATTATAATTATTAATTATATATTTTTTTGTTTATTATAA